CGCATTGCATTGCTGCAAAAAACGCATAAAAATGATTTATCGTAGGTCGAAGCCCAAAAATTCGTTGTAGTACTTACCAGTACATTTTGTTTCATGAAGTTCAATTTGTATGGATCTGTATGTGGCAGTAGGCAGAGGGGCTTCACACTAATTTCAAATTTTTTGAACGTAGTTCAAACATGTAGCGATCGGAAGAGAGCCTGCGCGGTTGTAAGGGGGTGCAGCTGTGGTCGAAGCTTTATTTAAAACAACGAAAAAAGAACTCAAAAACCGAGAACTCGGCAGTAGCTCCAATCTGCTACCGGACAGTATGGCGTGGCGTGGGGGCTAGCTTCGGCAGCTTCGTTTCCTTGCTGTTAACACCTTGTTCCTTTTGCAACAAACATACAGTATTGGTTTCTCGCGGTTAGCATGTTGCATACAGATGAGAAGTGTTTGATTTTCTGCAAATCACCTAGAGCAAACTGTTCAAAATTTATCCCACATTAATGTTCTGCTGTTGCAATTTGCATATTTGGATGCGTGGCTTAGCTAGTGCTTCTTGGTCACGTTTTTCATTACTGATACATCTGGCAACTTCGATCTTTTCTATTTTGGGTCTGTCTTTTCCAAATTAATCCATAAAGTCGCTCAGGAGATTCATCACGGTGGTGCTGTAAATCTCATTACTTCATTGGGTGAATTTGCTGCAGCTTTTTGTCACCTGCCATGCGTCATAACACTTTGAGTCACTATGAGTAAATACGAACATTTTTCTTTAGCATAAATGATATTCCGACTGTGAAAGCGAAACTGTATAATGAAGCTTTTGTGATTGCATATTGACGGTTAGTGCTGAATAGGTGCAGTAAATCTTTGATTAATTCTTGGGATGATTGGGAATGATTTTAAAATAATTAATTCTTGGGGATGATTTTAAAATAACACAATTCACACAGCAGAGTAAATAAAAAAAAATTTGTGTATGAGCAATTAGTGAGTGTTTGAAATGTGAATTGTATTGTGTGTGAGTTGCATAATTGTGGATATGAGATCAGGAGTCGAATGAGGGGTACTGTGATCCAGAAGATTTCATAATTCCTCTAGGTCGCTATATATCAATTTTATTACAATTTAGCAGTGAAATTCAAATCTGTTGAGCAATGGCATCATGTTGTCTATTCTCAAGCATTCTTGAATTGTTCTCTTTTGCAGCGTTAGCCACGCAGAGTCCGTCCTTCTGCCCAAGTTTCTTCTCTTTTCCTGCCCACTCTCTTCATCATAATTATAATTTGTAAAAATATTTATGAGAAAGAAGTGAAGGTAGCCGAGCAAGTGTGTGTGTATGTATGTGTAAGGCATCGGATAAGTGAGGATGAATAGTCGTGGATATCACTGAGGTGGGGAAGGGGGGGAGGTCTCCTTGTACTTGGCAGGTCTCTCTGCTTGGGCCTTTGGATTTGTTCTCCTAAATCCCTCTCGACTGTCTGTTGTTTAGGTGCAGCGAGTGCCGAAGATGTTATTCGATCAACAAAGCAGCT